TGCCCAATAATGAACAATAATTTGAAATAATTCAATTTTGTGTCAGGTTGGCCTCCACTAGGCCCCCCATAACAAAACTCTGGCTACGCCCATGGGCGAGAGTAGAGTTTTCCGAATTTTCTTCTCGTGTCTAACATCTAAATAGGGGGCCAATTTCCTATAAAAGAGCTCTCGGGAGCATTCTCAGCACATCGCCCATAAGTCACATTGTCATATATGAATAAAACAAAGCCAAACCCATCAAACGTCCGTCACCACCAGCCGCCACATTATGGATCTGAATGAATGACCCTGTTAGAGAGCACAGGAAAGAAAAATTCAAATGAAAAAAAAAATTCAGTTTGAAATAGAAAAATAATTATACAATGTTTTTATTTCTTAGAAAGAATGGGATAACCTGACTTTTACTTCAGAAGGAAGAGTGTCAATCATTGATAAAAGAAGGAATATTCAACCTATAAATCATAAACCAGATAAAAGCAAAGTAATACAACAAATATTAATTAATCTAATTTGAAATTTTTTTATTATAATGATGAAAAACTTTTGTTAGGTGATAACTTATATTGTGAGTTCTATCACTTTGAAACGTGGCAAGATCGCAAAATGGATTCTTCCAGTCAGCATAGCTTCTGGAATTGTTTTAATCACCATTATCCTTGTAGTTCTGCTAAAGGTAATAATGTATTTAAAATCGATAATACTAAAGATAAAATATATTTTCACTCTTTATTTATTCTTCTACAGTTGGGGTTCTTCAGAAGAAAGAAAAGAGAAGATGTTCAAATGTTAAAAGCAAACTTATTAATGGAGAAATCGCCAATCAATGAAGAAATTCCCGATGGCAAATAATTAGATTAATATTGGTTAAACATTATTACTATGCTCAAATTTTCGGATATAAATTCTTACACCACTGTGAAGAAATTTGAAATTTTCTGTCTGAATGTCTATTCAAATCTTATTTTCGTGTTAAGAATTTAAATAAATTCGTCTTTCGATATTTAAATAGATATTTTATTTTTCGGTATTATATAGATTGTTTTTAATCTATGTAATGTTCCCATCAAAGGTCGAGGCGGTTAAGACGTCAGGGAATCGAATCCGCAATGTCTGGCCACGTTTCTTATCACCCGGCCACCCTTATTGTGTGCCTCGCTGAACCCACCAAGGGTATGATTTAAAAGACCCACTTAAATAAAAGAATTCAAGTTGTTTGCACCTATTTTCAGAAGTAAGGCTTCTGCTTAAATATTTCTGGGTTTTTTTCTCCAGTACAAGGGATTTGATTCCAGATTCTCAGAGTGGTGAGCTAACTCCATAACCGTTCGACCATCCGGCCTTTAATTAAACATATATATCTAAAAATACAAAAAATTTCATTTCAGAGCCTAAAATTATATAGTAGAGATGGAAGTTTAAAATAGCTACTCTCTGAACATTGTAGTGTTAAAGTAATCAGATTCTCACAGTTGACTCAAAATTTGAAAAATAAAAATAGTTTAAAAGAAAACTTTTATTGTAAATTATTAATATGAAATTAATATAATAAAATTTGAAAATATATTATAAAATAAATAAAATATAAATTCAATAATTTAATACGTAAATTTTGCGTTTTGGCGCTGCGTATGCATATGTCTTTTTCTTTTTTAAATTCAAATACAGGTTTATATAATAAACCTGTATTTGAATTTAAAAATAGACATAAGCAAACGCATTATTGTATTATGTTTTTATAAAATTTTTTTCGACTATATAAAGAAATTTTATTATATATAATAGAATAACGAATGNAAAGAGCAAAATCAATACTATTTTGCTTTTTTTTTAAATAATTTATTTGAATACAGTATTAGGAAAATTAATTTGAGATAAAATATAATTTTGATTTTATGATGTTGCGGCTAAACAAATTTAATTAAAATAAAAATTTTGTTCAAAATTTTACGAGAATTTCGTCATTAAGGCGGTGGTTAATATAGAATATCCTCATAAGGCAATGAAAATTGTAATCATTTAGAAAGCCCTCCCTTAGCTTTTTAAAAATACATTGCCCAATTTGGGGAAAAACATAGAAATAAACAATAGAAATGAGTAGATACGTATGTTTTTTTTCTTTTCTTTTTTTAATTTGAAAAATAATTTCCAGCCAAACTAGTTGGAAATTATGTCGACTTCATACTTTACGAGTGCTGCCATCTGTTTATGTATATCTCAATCACTTATTTTTCATTTTAGTATGTTGGAGGATCGACCCTTTCAGGTAAGCTGCAACTTAAATTGGCTTTAAAAAGTAAATGAACAAAAAATATCGGATTAATATTTAATTCGTTAAGGTAATCATGGCAAGCGAATCGGAGATCTGCGTTAATGATTTCGAGAAAAAGATGGAATCGCTTCGGCAATTAGTCACATGTTCCATTTGCCTGGATTGTTTCCGTCATCCTATTATGCTGCCATGCCAGCATACTTTCTGTCAGTTATGTCTGTCGAAAATTGCTACTGAAAAAAACGTCCAGTGTCCCCAATGCAGAGAAACAATTTCCTTGTCTTCGGGACTGGCCTCGTTACCCGTAAACATACATCTTCAATCTGTAATTGAAGTCCTACAGACCGATGCGGCCAGTAAAGTCACGTGCTCTTCTTGCCAGATTAAAGCTGGAAATCCTTTAAAATGTGGACATTGCGAGCAACAATATTGTACGGATTGTCATGCCAAGCATTTATTAGTAATGAAGGAAAAATTAAATAAAATGGCCGACGAATTGAAAGAAAAAATATCATTTATAAATGAAGATTTTCAAAAATTTCAGGTAGAATTTTTTTATACATATAAATATTTAAAATAAAACTAATATTGAATTGTTTATAACCGTAATAAACGTAAATTAAATCAACTTTCTAAATGTAAAAAGCGAAATTTTTTGAGAACAATGGGAGTTGGAAGGACATCATCTTGCACTGACCTACATAGTAAAATTCGTGTTTGAAAACGAGTTTTTAGAGGACAAATGTAGGATGATGTGTGTTTCTAAAAACACAAACCACTTTTCTAAATTTGTTTATTAATTTAAATAACGTGACATTTAATTTTAGAAAATTAATTTAATTACAGCAATTATGGAAGCTTAAACAGATGAAAGAACTCAAATTTACACTGTTCTTTTCTACATTCCTCTCTGTGGGCACTAAGAGGGTCTTTTTAATCGTACCCATATGGGTTTAGGCCAGGCCCACAGTAGAGACAACCCATTATCCGGGACAGAGCGCCCATAAATAATTCCTAGCCGGATTCGACCCCGGATTCCTCAAGAGCGGAAGGCCGCTTTGGCCCTCCAACTTATATCTAATTAAATTAATCTTTAATTTAAATAAAGAAAATTTATAAATATTGCGTTTTCTTTATATAATACGTTGTTTTCATTGTAAATAATGATTATTTTATTTTTAAATTTGTGACATTTCACGTTTCCTTTTAAGACAGGAAAATATCTTTGCATCAATTAAGATGCTTGAGTTTATTCGTGTAGAAATTTTTAAATCAGGAATAACCTGTTAGTAGGAAATGACATTTTTTTTATTACATAATAATAGTATAAAGGCTATATTAAGTCAAAGAAACAAAATTTAGTTTTATGATAATCTCCAGTTTTATTTATTTAATATATTTTATAAACTCCACTCTGTGGACAATAAGAGGGGTTTTTTCATGTCTATTGTGGGTTCTGCCACAATGGGCATGATGGTGAGGTATAGGGCCCAATATATTTGCGACAGACAATCCCCTAAAAATGTCTGGGATTTTTCGACCACCCAGATTCGAATCCAGGTTCCCAGAGATGTTAGTTCTGGGAGATGATGACACTTAAACTACCTCATCCATAATACAAAATATGCTTAGAAATTAATATATTTATTCTTATAACAAAATAAATTTTCATTAAAAATATTTTTATTTATCATTTTTCCAGGAAGAATGCAAATTAGTGAACAACAACATTCATAAAGTGATAGAAGCGAAGATACTAGCTCTTAGAAATAACGAATCAACGTTAACAAACGAAGTTGATTCGGTTTTAAAAACGGAAGAATTAACAGTAAATGAATTAATTAAGAAAATCAATACTTTAATAAATGAAATAAAAACCATCGACGATTCGAACCAAGAAGCAGATTATATGGTTAGTCTAGTTTATTTATTAGTCTGAAACTTTACGGACTCGAACCCGGGTCTCTCAACGAGGTAGACTGATATTCCAACTATCTTGACCATCCGACCGGTCTACTTTTTCAGATTAGAACAATGTAAAAATAATTACTAGCTCCATTAAAAAATATCAATTTTTATGATTTCTTTTTAATTTTTCAGGTTAAACATTTTATAAAATATCGTCAGGATGTTTCTCAATTAATATCAGAAATCACCGCTGAAAACTCTCGAAGAAAGAGAAAAGTTGTTTTTGATTCCCATTCGTTGACAATTACTTGGAAAGAAAAAGATAAAGAAAATTCTATTTTAGAATCGAATGAAAATATGGAGCGTCATTCGCGATTTTACATTACCAAACAGTTTCATCTAAAGTGCAAACTCGTATCTGAAATGCTGCAAAGACCTTCTGGAACTGCTGTATCTCCGTGGTCGAGTGAATTTTATGTAGTTTCTACCGATACGCACTTAATTCATGTTTTTGATTTACAGAATGGAAAATCCATCAGTTCTTTCGGAAGGAGAGGGCACAAAGATGGAGAATTTCTGTGTCCTTTCGGGATTGCTCTATGCCCGTTACAACACAAAATTTATATCACCGATAAGTGGAAACATTGCATACACGTTTTTAATAAAGACGGGGAATATCTTCGTCAGATTGGTACCAAGGGTAGAGCGTCTTCTCAGTTTAGAAGCCCAGAATCAATATGCGTTGATGGAAAAGGAAATGTCTATGTATGCGATACCTGCAACAACAGAATTCAAGTATTCAATTCTAATAGTTGTTATCATCATCAAATAGGGGTTCTTTTGAAAAAGGAAGGTGGAAAAATGAGGCAGAACAGCATGTTTCAAGATCCTACGGGAATAGCAGTAACTAAAGATGGTACCAGAGTTGTCGTTAGTGATTTCGGCCATCACAGAATCCACGTGTTTTCCTCTTTAGGTGACCATCTTTTCACATTCGGCCAGAAAGGAAATCTGAAAGGACAGTTTCTACATCCGGAATGTGTCGCCGTTGACAATAAAGGATTTATTCTTGTCGGGGATAGTGGTAATGGCAGAATACAAATATTTCGACCCGATGGATCCTATGTCAGAATGTTTGGATGCAAAGATTTTTCTGAAGAAAAGTTTAATTGGGTGTCGGGTATTGCTGTTACTGACAATTACGAGATTGTTGTTTGCGATTTTAAAAATCATTGTGTACAAATGTATTTATAATTGTTATGAAAATGTCAATTAAAGTCCCGTTTTCTCGCGTAAATCTCTACAGAAAAGTAATCCAAAAAATTTTCTTTGTTCGTGGTAAAAGTCTGGAAAGTCGAGTTTAGAAAGTTCTCAATTTTTATCTACGGAATCTGGAAAGGAATTTTTTTAAACCAATGGCAATCGACTTGAGACGTACTGTACGTCGTCATCACGCGTAGTCTCCTTTAATCATTAAGAATTTTCTTCCATCACCTTGACAATGTGAGTCGTGACATCATCACAATAACAATCAATTTCTAACAATTTAAATGTATTTTTCCGAATATAATGAGAACACGGTGTTTATTCCGGAGAGAATCACTATAGAAAAGTAATGCCGACAAAAAATACAGAAAATTTGTCCGCATTACTTTTCCGTAGTGATTTTCCTCAAGTGAGAACGGGGCTTAAGTTGAGAAATTAATATTTTATTTTATAATATATTGAAGAGTTATTTTCAATAATTTTAGTTTTTAAATGGAAAATGAGAAATTATCTTTGATAAAAATAAAATTTTAAACATTACAGTATTTCGATATTAAATATGTTTTTATGATATAAGCCGCTATTAATTTTATCAATATTTAATTTTTAATAATTTTGAATTAATTAGACTAAATTAATGGGCATTACGTATATTTTATTAAGACGTATTTTCCTTTAACTACGTTTAAAAAATTAATCTCTACACAAGTTCAATTCTTTATATCTGAATTAGAAACATTTGTATACACGTTTAAAACAATAAATATTCTAATTATTGTTTGTACAATTAAATGTCTTTAATCTATAAAAATATCAATAGTTTGAATTTTACATGAACTGCTTCATTGATTTAAAAACAAATTTTGAAAAATGAAATTTGTTTACACCAGTAGCGTGTATAGAATCGATATTGGAGAGGCAAATTAGAAAAATCAAAGTGCACATCTACATTTATCCCTGCGCTACTGTAAATGTGCCCGAGTGGATAAAAGCCATTAAACACTCCTCGTCGTGGGTTCGCGCCGCACAAATGGACTGGCCGCTTGGAATTTTCCGGGTTTACTTCACTTAGACTGGCTACTTCTTTATAGAAATTTTTTCCTAGAGGCACCATTGGCAGATCGCCCACGTGTTGCGTATCCTTATCCCATCCATCCACTAGCGCTGTAGATGAAGAGTAAATAAGATATTGTATAAGCTTGTACTGTAGGTATGTGTAAATTCGTTTGTTTCATTCGAAAATTTATTTATTTACAAAAATAAACTAGTCATTGGTCTAGAGTCAAATAGATCTGTTTACACGGACATAATTAAATTAATTAATTAAATAAACAAGGGCTCCTCATTAAAAACACAATGATACGGTAATGCGTTAATTGTATTTCAATACAATTGCTCGTTAATACTGTACACAATTGCAAGTTACAATTGTATTATTTATTATGTGCATTTTTGATTAAACAGCATATAAATTTACAATATTACTAAATAAGCATCATATTTAGTGCAGCAATTTAAGTGTAGACATTTCAGACGTGCTTGGATGCATATTTATTCCATTCCCATGAAATTACGAATAAGAGAAGACCAGTTTTCTTCGCTTGAGTTACTTTTTCCTCTATCTCATTAAGCACACCCAAGATTGGAATATCTTTGTCATCACTTATTTCACCGAGCTGTCAATTTAACGTTTTGTTATCACATTTACTTCACAATTCATAGAATCAGCTACTTTATTTATGCTGTATATTTTAAATATGATAAGCCAAACCTGTAAACAACGGCCACTAACGGCCGTAGTTCGGAGGTGGCCGTCGTTTAGAAAATATTTTGTAATCATTTTTGCAAGGAAAAAAACTCCTGAATAAAATGGCTTCCGTTTACAAGTGGCCATTTTATCCCGCAAAGCCCTTCAACTTTCGAGGGCCTGGTACCGCTTAAAATATTATTGGAGTTAAACGAATTCCGTTGTCTTAGAGTTGGAGTCTGCGGTGACCATTATTGGAGGTTCGACTGTATTTTCTTTATAATATTTTATAAATTCAAGGAGAGACAATAATAACATCAGAAATGGCATATTATTGGTTTTATGGGCGTATTTCTATTACTTTGCTCTAATAACTTCTGCTTTTGAAGCCAACAATTCTCCTGACCTTCCAGTTCAACAATCGAATTTTGCTTGAAACAAATATTCGTAGGACTCGTGTTCAGTGACACATTAATTCTTGATTGACTAAATCCATAAAAAGACTTCCCAAGGTTCTTCTACGTAAAAAATAATAGTTCTGTCATTAAAAAAAAGCCATGGAAAATATATATTTTGACTCCTCTAGAACTAAACATTCTATTGCTAAACGATTGCTGAAGAAAGTTTTTCAGAATTTAATGGTTGAAAAAATAAAGAAGTTCGATTTATAAATACTGTATTTTCCTTTTATGGTTCAGTAAATATTGATAATTATTTCCTTTAGAAATTAATTTCCTATGAAATATAAACATTCGTTACTTTAAAATATAACAGGAAATAACGAATTATCGAAGATTATAAGTTATACAGTCAAACCTCTAAACAGCCACTGATGGGAGTTGTCCGCTAACGGAAATATAAAAATGTCCAAAGTTTGAAGATTATTTTGTATGCATTTTTTGTTCAAAATAAGTTCGTAAAAAATAGCCGATGATTACAGGTGGTCCTATTCTATGGTCCTATGGTATCTATTTACTAATAGATACGTTTTTCATTGGATGGTCATCGGCCATCCAATGAATAGTGGTTATGGCATTAGCGTACCCCGACTGCCTCCATCGTGGGTCTGACCAAACCTATGATGGATATGATTAAAAGGCCCTCTTAGTGCCCACAGAACCTGGTGTAAGAAAATACAATTAGTGTATTTGAATATATAAATTACAAAAATTTTAAATCGACTCTATTACCGAAAATTGAAATGATGTAAAATTTGAAATATATCCACAATATTCTTTATTTGTTATTCTACGCTCTTTGGTTAAAATAAATTAACCATAAATATAAAATTAGTCACAGTAGATGCTATTGTATATTTGAAAAACAGTAATAAAAACAAAACATAAATATTTATGTGTGTTTATCGGTGGTATTATTCACCACTCAAAACATTCGATTCAACAAAGTGTGAACAACTTTTAGGACTTAATTTTATTAAGGGTTTTTTTTTATTTATTTATTCTTACCGTCCTATGGATACAAAGAGGGCCTTTTAATTATATCTGTCATGGATTCGGCCAAGATAACAATGGGTGCTGCCGGGGGGTGAGGGACGAGGCCCAACGTATCCAGGACTGAGAACCCTCTCCCGAAAAATTATTGGTTTTTCGACCGTCCGGATTCTAACTCGGATCCACCAGAGCGGTAGGCTTATTCCTTAATAATTAGAAAAACCATTTTAATACCCAGAAGGGGAAAATGTAAAAAAAGTGTGCTATCCGAGCTTACAATATTTTGTATCGTTTTATTCTTCATACTGTCAATAAAAAATCCATTAAATTGAAATAAATTATAATTGCAATTTAATTTTCAAAGCTCATAAATCAATTTGTTTATTCCCCCAATGAAGAAGTCTTATCGGATATTTTTATTTTTTAATAAATACCCAAAAAAGTTGAAATTCTTTTTCATAAATATAATTTACCATAATTTATCAGTATTTTAAAGTGACAATATCGGGATCCAATTGATTTATATTGATTTTCTGTGTCACGAATCTTATTTCCCTTCTGTTATTATTATGTGCAATGAACTACAAATGAAATATGTTAAAAAGGTAAAAATTTATCTAAATTTTCTATAAAATGTGTTAGTCCGGTTTTCTATTTTTTGTATCAATATTCTGATAATTCTACGTATGGCATTATTAAGATATAATTAGTGACTTTTGTTCGATTCTATTTACAAATTAATGTTAATTTATAGTTTTTTAAAAATTTAAAAGTCTCGATAACTCAAATGAATATAAATATATCACACAAAAAAAAAAATCGGCATATTTACACTTACGGATTTGCTTATGCCTATTAGAGCAGAATGGATAAAACCAGTGAACTGGTTATAGTTGGTCAGTGGATTCACTCCTGGCCAACTGGCTGGTCAGGTGAAGTTTTCTTCACGTTTCTACGTCGCCTTATCCCATCAATCCAATCCATCTTTAAAATATATTTAATTTTTGGCTATTCACATGCATAACAGACATATTGTGTTTAAAACATAAATAAAATCATCATAAATTTTGTTTTATTATGGGTTTTGTTGCTTTTAATTTTAAAATTTAAAGCAGAATATCAATATCTATCAACGACATGCCATAAATTCTCTACTTTTATGAAAGAAAATTAATAGCCTGTCATCTATGATAATTTTTTAATGCATGATGAATTAAAGCGCTGTTTATTCAAATGTAATTTTATCAAAACTACTATTTCCAATTATTTTTTTCATTTATTCTGAGAATTTAAAAGTCCAGCAATAATAAAAGCTAGTAAATACTGGTAGTTGGTTACGGATTCGCGTCTCACCAACGAACTACGTGGAATTTTCCGGGATTTCTTCACATGTAATTTATCACGATACCTACTGAAGATTACTAATAATGTTCACGTAATATATTACTTA